CAGACCCTCCCGCAGAGATGTGCTTGATACGAGAAGCACGCCACCTTCTTTTTCTTGAGTCGTGCTGCACAGCCGCCCCCGATCCTCCTCTCCGTGCGGGCGCAGAGGCCAACAACGAAGCACTATTTAGGAGGGGAGAAGCGCGCGTGATGTTCTCGTGTTGCCGTAACGGGGGGAGAGATGCCCCCCCCCCCCCCCCCCCCGCCTAGATGCGAGGTCAATGGTCTAACGACTACGGCACGCACGACTATGAGTACACCCCCCGCCTAGACCGACTTTTAAGGCTCGATTGCGCTCCAAGAGGGTGCGGGAAGAGCCCCATAATTGTACGGAAAGGGCCTCGACGAGATGTTTCGATAACCGCCGCATTTGGCGTTGGCGCAAGCTTCGTTGTGGAGCAATCGAAATAGAGCTTTGAAAATCGGTTTACGCGGGGAGCCATCCCTGCGTAACTTGCGGTATTATGCCTACACGTCGGGCTACAATCTATGTAGGGCGCGCACGACCGCCCCGCCTGTCTCTCCATTTCATCTCGGTTGACGAAAAGTCCGTGATGACCGCTGTTAGTTATATGCAACAAGGCCAATTTATTAGGCCTCCTCCCGGCTGTGTCCGTAATCAATCACCTCTGTTTTGCCGAGGAGAAAAAGGCTTGTTGTTATGTGTAGATTCAGCGCGCACGCATTACCTTGGACGCCCTCGAGGCCTTGAACATTGATGGGTGGACTCCGAAGGCATGTCTGTATCTCGCTTCAACGCCCCCCCCCGCCGATGATGTGCTTGCCAGATCAACGAGGGGCCGGGCGGGCGGACCGACATCTACGTCATCGTGGACATCTGACGTCATCGTAGACATCTGATGTCATCGTAGACACCTGACGTCATCAAAAACATCTGACGTCATCGTGGACATCAAAAACATCTGACGTCATCGTGGACATCTAACGTCATCGTAGACGTGGCGTCTAGCCCGTCGTGGAATTAATAACGCTTGTTCGCGGGGATCGATTGGCTGTGCCCCCATCCCCAGAACTACGGACGGCGTCCCATGTTGTTTGTCGGCGTTTCGGTCTTCTGGTCGTTATTCTGTGGGCGGGGCAGATACGTTTCCACATGCCTTTGCTGGGCTTTTGCATCACGTCATGTCGTGCCATGCATGTTGAAGCGCGTGCGACGCTTGTAGGGGGCGCGCGATTGTGTTACCATGGAGGGGACTATACACTATTATTATTGTAAAAGCTCGATAGCTGCACCCCTCCATGGGAGAAAACAAAAGCACTGTACTACTCTAGGAGTCGCCGATCGGTGGCGAAGAGGAAGAGGGCCGAGATAGGTGGAGCTGAAGCTCTTCCAGGGCTATCCTGGAACGCACGTATCGTTCGGCCTTGGAAGATGGAAATGGAGCAATCGGGCTCCGAACGTCGGTCCGACGGCGTCTGACATGCAAGCACCGTTACGGTATAGCGTAGCGTAGTCACGAGGCCTACTTCCCTCTGTACGGTCGCCATTTGCCGAGACACAAGACATGTACACTCACTACAACGCGTGAGGACAACAACGTTGTGCGATAAACGAACCCAAGAAGGGAAAGGCACGACGAGAGAGAGAGACAGAGAGAGAGAGTTGTTCAAGTTCTTTGGACTCAAGGCTGGCTGGCACATCACAGGCGGCCGAAACCGCAACCCGCAGTAATAGCACGCAGGGAAACGTTGTAGACTACTGTAGCAGTATTATGAGAAAAAAAAAGTCCCCTAAAAATATTTAAGGCTCTGCTACAAAAAAAAAAAAGTCTCACCCGTTTGTAAGCGACCAAACAAAATCGAAAAGGACCGTAAAACTGTCGCATCCGAAATGAACGAATGGGAGCCTTCCACAGCAGCACCCAGTGGATTCTGCAACCCTCGAAATTCCCAGTATACCGTCCGAACGTCAAAAACACATCATTAATTGGTGATACACTTGGCTTGCCCGCCGCCGCCGCCGCCGCTCGTCCCTTCTGACCACAACCCCCCCCCAACAACACAAAAAAAACAAAACAATTTTTCTCACTAGTTCAGGGCGGGGATCTCAATAAGACAGCTCTCGGAACTCCCCGCACGCTTCGTCGAGATGAGGTCTCGGGGGCGGCTGCGCAGCCAGTCATCGTACACCGTTCAGTAAATATCGCACAAATAAAACACCGCTTGTTTGCTGCTGCTGCTGCCTTCCATTGTTGTTATCATGGATATATCGATAGATGGGCCGACAGAACAAAAAAAAAAAAATGGTGACTCTTTCTTTGGCAACTACTCGTACCATGTACTCCTCACAAACCGCCGTGCCGCGCATCACAAAAAAGCGCCGGTTGCGGCCCACCGACCGAACAACCCGGCCCTCATGTCCGAAACCCCTCTTTAGCCAGCCCCTGCGCGCGTTGGCGTACTAGTCCTAGCGCTCGCTGGCTCCCTTCTTAACCTCTCTCCCGTCTTTATAACCCTGTCTCTGACAATAAAACTCCTTCCTCTGATGATATAACAGCCCATCAAATCCACCCGTCTTCTGCTGACGAACCTTGTGCGCGTCTCTCCCTCTCTCTCTCTCTCGCGCGCGCCCGGCGTCGATACCCTGCTGCTGTTGTTCCCTGCTAAGCAACCCTGGCCTCCCTTCCCTCCCCGCTTGGTTGTACCACACAACAAAAAACATCAACGCGCACCCCCCCAAGCACCACCAACCAGCTTGGAAAATGAACACACATCTAGCATACAACACGGCGGGTGGAAAGGGAAAAGTAATGAAAATTGCTGGCAACACACGCGCGTTTCTCGGGAACCGAGGCAAGCAATCTCAACGCTGGCGGCAAGCAATCCCAAAGCTGGCGGCGCTGCTGGCGTCCATCAGAGCCAACGTCATGTACACAAAAAGAGCAAACAACGCCCACTCATGCACGGCAAACACGTAAACAGGACTACTGTTACAAAAAGACAGGTCGGGGGGATGGGTGGATGGATGCGACCCCGGGGTGCGCGGCGTTAAAAAACCAGAGCACCCCCCTGCGCAGCCGCAGCAGCATCATC